TACATTGATAACTTGCCAACCGTGCCGGATGTGGAAGCTCTTACAAGGGATTTTGATGAAATCCGGACAGCAATGTGGGATGAGTCTAGACCAACGGTACTTGCAAAGGGGATGCTTTTTCCTGATAAAGCGCGCCTAAGCAGGGCTTGGAAAATGCACAACGTAAAAGAGTGTCATGAGATGCAGGTATGGGAGTCAAGTCCGACGATATACAAGGTTGTTTGCCGCAGGTGGTTTTGGCCATGTAATTGGATGTTGCGTGCGACCAAGAAGAAGACAGGTATGTGGAAAGTGGGTAAATACATTCCCACCCACACATGCGAAATGGACACATTCAACGGGAATCACTTCAACTTGGATATTGACTTGATTTCTCTTGTTCTTATTCCACACATCGACCAGTCCATAAGGTATAAAATCAAAGAGTGCATTACATCAGTCCAGCAGGAACATGGCCATACCATTACTAAAAGAAAGGCATTTCTCGGGCGCAAACGAGCGTTTGAAATAGTGTATGTTAACTGGGATAAGTCATTTGCAGATCTGCCTAGGTACATGGCTGCACTACAACATTTTAACCCCGGGACGGTTGTTGAGTGGAAGCTTGAGTGAAGTGCAGGTAAACCAGAATATATATTCAATTACGTGTTCTGGGCGTTTAAACCAGCAATTGATGGTTTTTCGCATTGTCGCCCCGTAATATCCATAGACGACACTCATGTCTATGGAAAGTACGATATCAAGCTGTTAATAGCCGTGGCAGTAGATGCTAATGGACAGATATTTCCTCTAGCTTTTGCTATTTGTGCCAATGAAAGCCAAGAGACGTGGGCATTGTTTTTGAACCATATGAAAGAGCACGTTGTGAAACAGCGTTCCGGTATCTGTCTAATATCTGATCGGCACGGTGGTATCTTAAGTTCTGTGGAGAACTTGCCTGCATGGCAAGAACCTTATGCCTACCATCGTTACTGTGTTAGGCATTTGAAAGCCAATTCCAGAAGGCATATCCCAATAAGGATCTGCATGATTTGATGTGGATGGCAGCAACAGACCACCAACAACATAAATTCCGGAGGCACATGGAATATATCAGGCAAGAAGACGAGGCAGCCTATCGTTGGTTAATGCGACATGACCCTGAAAAGTGGACTTTGCATGCGGATGGTGGGCAGACGATGGGGAACTCTGACTACAAATGTGTCACGACCCGGATTTACCACCGTCAGAGTCGTGATGGCGCCTACTCGTGGTAGCTAGGAAAGCCAACTTAATTACCTCTTTATCACTACACAATCATTTTTAACCGTTTATAGCCTCAGTATAGCACATGAAATTTAATAAGGACAATAGCGGAAGTCTGATATTATAAGTCTGAATCAAAACGCGGAATAGTCAACAATAGTCTCTACCCAAGATTTGGTGTCACATTACTCACGAACCACTAAGAATAAACTAAATAAAAAGGTCTGAAAGAAATATAACAGCTGTCTGTCTCGAAAACAATGAGGCAACAGTCAAAAGGAAAACATAAAGAAGAGACGCCGGGCCTGCGGACGCCTGCAAGGCTACCTCAGTCTCGTGATAATGAAAGCCTGCTCCCGTACTACTACTGCTGCTGCTCCTCAAAACCTGGACCTATGCAAAAATGCACAGAAGTGTAGCATCAGAACAACCGACCCCATGTGCTGGTAAGTGTCTAGCCTAACCCCGGCGAAGTAGTGACGAGGCTAGACCGGACACCACATAAACCTGTGCAGTCATAAATATACAGCGAAAATCGAATGCAAGGTAATTAACAACATGGGAGGGGAAACATGCGATGGGGAGATACAATATTAACAGTAATTCAGAGTAACCAACTAAACAGCTTAGATCCACAATGAACAAGGAATCAATACTCAGATATAAACACATGGCATCAATAACTGTTGCGGCGTGCAACCCGCTCCATAATTACCATTTGTTGCGGCGTGCAACCCGCTCCATAATACCACTGTTGCGGCGTGCAACCCGACCCATATCATTTATCATGTATCATTGTTGCGGCGCGCAACCCGATCCTCACATATTATTTATCATGTATCATTGTTGCGGCGCGCAACCCGATCCTCACATATTATTGTTGCGGCGTGCAACCCGATCCTCAATATCATTGTTGCGGCGTGCAACCCGATCCTCACATATTATTGTACAGTCCGACTCCCCAACCAACAGTCACAATTA